ATGAAAGCCAGAAGCACATTCCATGCTTAACTTGTGGAGATTGTGGCCTAGGCTACCGGATCTCCTGCCTTTGAAAATCTTTCATTGGACAATGTGACACCCAGCCCGTGAATGTGTTTCACTGGAGAATCTGACAACCAGGGAGGTGGGGGGGGGGGGACAGGGTCATAGGTAATAGTAAATTACATGTGCCAGAATTGGCTTCATACAGGTTAGTGCTGGACATGTTGCTCCTAATAAATCTTTTGGATTCCTTTGAAGCTTGGCTCAAGGCTCATGATTTAATTAGGACAATTGGAACCCTGATATCTACATTATTACTGTTCTATAGCGGCACACAATACCTTCTTAAATTATTTGGGCTGCATCTCATTCCTTTGGTTCCTTCTAGATTTTTTTGGTCTTGTTGGGGAAAAACTGTGGGTCATGAAAGGGAAGGGACCCCCCCCCCCCCCGCTTACCTGTAGGAGAAGTACAGGCAGAGACTGGGGTCAGTTTAGAATCTCTATGTAGCCACAAACAGCCTAAGTCCATCTCTCTTGAATTCCATTAACTCTTAACTAGCACCAATTTAGTGCCAATGGTTAGTTGACTAGATTCTTGTGACTAAGCATGAGCAGCTTAATTAGAACTTGTTTAATGGCTGGATACCTTTCCTGTCACCAGAGCGTTGTTCAGCAGATATATTCCAATTGTGCCCAGCGAGAGAAATACCTGTCTCTACCTAGGATCGAACTCACAGCCTCCTGATTGTGAGGCAATAGCTCCACCTCTAGGCCACCACACCACTCATCAAAAAGAAACAATTTTTGTCCTTTTTTTTTTTCCTAGCTCAGAATGTGGTGCGCAGCTCCTCGGCGGTTATTGAAACAACCGAGTGCATACAAGGACAAGGAGAAGGCTACCGGGGTACCGTGAACACCATCTGGAGTGGGATTGAATGCCAACGGTGGGACTCTCAGGTGCCTCACCAACATAACTTCACACAAGAGAACTTTAAGTGCAAGTGAGTAAAACAACTTTGATAAGAGTGATCCACCTCAATATGGAGAACAACCATTAAGGTGTCATACCCTTGATCGAGCCTGATTCTGAGGGGGAGATTGAGCAGCTGACAGGGAGTGGGAGTGTGACTCCGGTGACTGTGGAGGAAGGCCACAGTCTGGCTGGGCATTTAGAGGAAGACCCAGGCCCACCCCCTCTTCATCCTAGGGCACGCAGGGAGGAATGGATAAGGGAGCAACGTGGCTTACAGGAGAGAAAAGGGCTCTGATTCCCTTCATTAGTTGCAGCTTGGAGAACAGGATATAAGTGTGGCATTTGCACACAGTTCCTTGCTGGAAGCAAAGTGTGCATTATCTTGGTTGAGGCTTATCTGGGTTTTGGCATCCTCCCAACTGTGGGTCCTGCATTATCCTTTGAAAGTCTGCAATTTATCATCCTGGCCTGCTGTGTTAATTACTTCAGTGTGGTTTGTGTTGATATTTTTATTTCTAATTATCTTTACTTTCGGTTCAGACTGCATTTCTGCCCTTCATAGACTGTTGAAGAGTTTGATCTCCAGCCGAGGATAATTGGACATTGGGGCCAAGTTGGAGGCATTAAAGGGAATTTATTCTACTTTGGGGACTTTATTATTTTTGTGTCACACCTCGGGTCATCACATAAGGTTTCTAACCCAAGGGCAGACATTAGTGCTATTATGTCTTTTGCAATTCTCTGACAACACACTTCTTTAACAAGTTGACAAACGGAGTGTGGTGGCTCACGAGGTTAGAACACAGGGCTGCCGATCTGGCTTGTGTTTGAAACCCGTTGCTTTTGTGAGGTGGGGTGAGCTCCCATCACACACTCCAGCTCCTGCTAACTCAGCAGTCCAAAAGTGGGCGACTACAAGTAGATTAATGGGCACCATTTCAGTGGGCAACTTCATAGGAACATGAAAGGAACCCCAAACTGGGTATCCTCCAGGCAATGGTGATATCACTGACAAATCCTTTTGCCACATTGGTTAAGGAAATCAGTGTGGTTGTTATGGGAATAAAAACCCAAATTGATATGTCGTTTGTGCTATAGGATACAAATTATCTCTAGGTGTTGTACCTATTTTGGGGCTGATCCACAGTTGTTTCTTGTGTTGTGTTCTAACATTATGGATTTGTGAGCAGTCCAATTTGCAATTTTTGTGGATTATTTGGGGTAGGGCAATAATATCGGCAGAAATATGTTGTATTCTCTGAATCTACGTCTGATAAGTTCCTTGAGCAGATGACTTCTTGTAGTATGTCTTATAAATGGCAATACATCTCCTTTTTACGACCGTGTAATCCCTTAATTTGGGGTTAGATTTGGGGTGACTGGATGGAGCTTAGCATTTGCTGGCTGGGTGCCCTTCCTGACACCTAAGTGGAGTTGACAGCAGATTTTTTTTCTTTTCTTTGTGCCCTGGGAGAGAAACGTCTGTCTCTACCTAGGATTGAGCTCTCAACCTTCCAAGTGGGAGAAAAGCGTTTTCACCACTAGGCCACCTTGCCTCTCTGCCTTGTAAATGGCAATAGGGTGGTTGTATGTATGTGCAGATATTTGGACCAACATTCCCACAGTGGACTCCAGCTGGGAGAGCTGTTGCACAAGAGCTATGTGAAGAAACGTGTTCTTTTTCTGATGTTGGACGTCTCTTCTCCACCTTTCCGTGTTTTGGAAGAAGCTGCAGCTTTGCCTTCCCCCGTCACTGGCTGCTTAGTGGACTCATTCTGTCGCATCTGTTCACCTGCAGATAAGTCAAGTGAAACGGTGGAAGCTCCACCATCACTTCTTCCCGCCTCCTAATTAGGATTGCTACTACTCTAGAAGCTCTTGTTGTGTGGAACCAGGATCTTCTGCAGCTCTTCCTTCTTCATTACTTAAACTGATCGGCTGGTTCTTGTGAAAGGATTCGGTCTCCCTATCTTCAGTCTTCAGGAGGACACCAGAGTGACCAGAATCTTGCTTGTGGGTAAGTGAGGCTTAATGTGTAATGACTTTGTGAAAGTGTGCTTCTTTGACAAAGGGGACAGGCAATGTGAGGTTCTTGGTGCTCTCTTGAGCTTGGGATTTTCTTGCAGACGTTTCATTACCCAACTAGATAACATCATCAGTGCTAAAAGGGAGAGGAGGAGGAAGAGGAGGATAACAACTATGGGGTCCTTGGTGCTCTCTGAGCTTGGTGGTTTTCTTGCAGACATTTCATTACCCAACCAGGCAACATCATCAGTGCTAGAAGGGAGTTATTTTTGTGAAGAGGAAGTGGGGGAAGAGGAGAGGAGGAGGAGGAGGAAGAGGGAAGGAGGAGGAGGAGGTGGAAAGCAGGAAGAGGAGAAGGAGGACTATGGGTGGTCCTCCTTGGTGGTCTCTGAGCTTAGTTGTTTTCTTGCAGAGATTTCATTACCCAACTAGGTAACATCATCAATGCTAGAAGGAAGAGGAGGAGGACTGTGGGGTCCTTGGTGGTCTCTGAGCTTGGTGGTTTTCTTGCAGACGTTTCATTACCCAACTAGGGAACATCAGCAGTGCTAGAAGGGAGTGATTTTTGTGGAGAGGAAGCGGGGAGGAGGAGAGGAGGAAGGGGGAAGTAACAGGAGGTGTAAAGCAGGAGAAGGACTATGGCGACCTTGGGGGTCTCTGAGCTTACTTGTTTTCTTGCAGATGTTTCATTACCCAACCAGGAACATCATCAGTGCTAGAAGGGAAAGGAGGAGGAGGAGGAGGATGACAAGTATGGTGTCCTTGGTGGGGTTTTTGCAGACATTTCATTACCCAACTAGGCAACATCATCAGTGATAGCCATTTCTAGTATTTTTAATTCAAGTTTCATACAATCGGGGAAATTTAGCCAGGAGTTATTGTGCTTTAATTTCTTTTTTTTCCCCAGGATGTACAATTTAACATTGGCCATCAGTCTACATCCCCGATGAAAATCTTAGGACTTGGTGGTCACAATCTGACTTATATTCAAATCTTCTCATCCTTCCATGGAACATGATGTCCAGATGTTGATCAGCTACTCCATTGGCAGACCTCATCACCAGTTTCCAATGGGGCTGAATACAGTGGAGTTAGCAGCAATCATGAAAATAAAAATACACTCCTCTTGATGCAAGAGATATTAATGGATTTTGGATATCTCACAATGCCTTAATCAAGAGGAGCGATGTTACTAAGAGCTAGCAATCTCCATCTGTTCTTTGAAATTCAAGATTCATCAGAATTTGGAAAGTTAAACTTCGCCATTGAAGATGGAAATGGGAGCAAGTTGCAATGGGAATTTTGCAGACTTTTGAGTTGGAATAAATATTGGGTGGCATGGAAACTTTCAAAAACTGGTCTTGTAGAAACTTGATGGAGAGTCTGCTGTCCAATTCTAGATTTTTTTGTAAATAAAAATATTTTTTTTAATAAAAGCTGCATGTATGGTGTTAATTCTCCAATGTATGCTAATTCAAAAAAAACCCTAAGCATTTGATTAAAAGCTGTCCTATTTGTTTGTTTTTAATGAATGGCACAGCACTGCACAGGTTTGGGGTGGGCTTTATTATAATAATAATTATTTTTTGCGTCCTGAATATATTCATTCTTGGTTAATTATACTAATTTCTTATATTTGATGCTCAGCTCTGTCTTGCAAACTTTGTTTCCTACTCTTCTATGTAGGAAGGCTTTAAAAACAGTTCAAGATAAATTCGTCTCATTGATTTTGCAGCTCCTCTGTAGGGCTGCTGTTTTCCTAAAAGAAATAATAGCTGGAAGTCTATTTGCAATTATCTTCACTTCTGCCAGTTCAGAAATCTTAAGAACAGGAAGACACCAATTTAGGTCCAACAACAATAGTAAAAATTACTTCATTCCACCTAAAAGAAAATAGAAAGAAAATTATCATTCAAATTATGAGTCAAGTCAATAAGAAGTGATGCCGCTTTCTC